TATACCAGACAAAATAGACTTTAAAACAAAGGCTATAACAAGAGATAAAGAAGGACCCAGTAATACCAGTTCTGGTATTTATCAAAGAAACCCAAAACAATACTTTGAGTAGACTTGTCCATATGTTCATTACAGCATTGTTCACAATGGCCAAGATGTGGAGGCAGCCTGGGGGTGTCCATTGATGGATAAATGGATAAAAAGAAGATTTTATACATATATATATGTGTGTGTGTGTGTGTATATATATATATATATATATATATATATATATAAAATGGAATATTACTTGACTGTGGAAGAGAATGGGTTTTTGCCATCTGCGGCAGCATGGATGGACCTGGGGGGTATTGTGCTGAGTGGAGTATGTCAGACAGTGAAAGGGAGATGCAATGTGGTTTCACTTTTATATGGAATTTAAAGAACAAAATAAACAACAACAACAAAAAAACAGAAATAAACTTAGAGATACAGAAAACATTTTGATGGTTGCCATACAGGAGGGGGGTTGGGGATGTGAGTGAAAAAAGGGAAAGGGATTAAGAAGTACAAATTGGTTGTTAAAAAGTAGTTATGGGGATGTAGGGTATAGCATAAGGATTATGTCAATAATACTGTAATTACTATGTATGTCAGATGGGTACTAAATTTGTTGGGTGATAGATGGGAGGGGGTTGGAGGCAGGGTGGAAAAGACAAAGGAATTAAGAAATACAAATTGGTAATCACAAAATAGTATGGGGATGTAAAGGAAAGCAATGGTATGGTAATAACCATGTACAGTGCCAGGTGGGTACTAGACTAGTCAGAGGGTCACTTCTTAAATTATATAAATGTCTAACCACTATGCTGTAAATCTGAAATTAATATAAAATAATATAGAATGTCAAGTGCGATTCAAAATTTTAAAAAGGGGGAAAAGGTGAAGGGGAATAAGAGGTCCACATTTCCAGGTATAAAACAAATAAGTCATGGGAATATTATGTAGAGCATAGGGAATATAATCAATAATATTGTGATAGCATAGTATGGTGTCAGTTGGTTCCTGGGCTTATCACAGTGATCACTTCTTTAGGTATATAAACATTGAATAATTATGGTGTACCCCTGAAACTAAAATAATATTGTATGTTAGCTATATTTTTAATTAAAATCTTTAAAAAAAGAAATAAGCAGGACACCTAAGGACAAATATTGTATAACTGCCACCAGAATAGACAAATTCATAGAGACAGAAAGTAGATTAGAGATTACCAGGGACTGAGAGGAGAGCAGAGTGGAGGGTTATTGCTTAATAGTTGTGGAGTTTATATTTGGGGTAATAAAAAATTTTTGAAAAAAGTGTTGATGGTTGCACAATATTGTGAATGTAATTAATGTCTCTAAATTGTACACTAAAAATGGCAAATGTTATTATACATATTAACATAATTATAAAAATTAATAATGTAATATACCAAAACCTCTTGAATTGTACACTTTAAATGGGTAGATTTTATGGTATCTGAATTACATGTCAATAAAGTTATTAATTTTTTAAAATAAAACACACAACAAACAAAAATAACCTTTGGCGTCATTTTTTTCATCAGATGGAAACTATCCAGCACACTGTACTTCTCTTTTCACCTTCACTGCCAGGAAGCTTAAGTTTTATGTTCAAGTGCAGCAACTCAGATGTCACACAGATGTGCTAAAACAAAGTAGTTATCATCCTCCTCATCAAATCGGAGGTTCCAGTTTTCTATTCATATCCTTCTATGTGTCCTACTTTGTCCCAGCTCTTCATCTTCGTTAACTAAAATTCATTCAAGTAACTTTTCTCCAGGCCCCCAACAGACCCTAAAGTAAACTGAGATAATGGACCTTTGAGGACACAGTGTTACTCTGCAAATATGATGCCATAGCCTCAGATTAATTAATAATTAACCTTCGGAGCAAAAGAGAAGAGCTCATGCTAAAGAAAAAATAAGAAGACACCACAAAAGCAGTGAGGATGTCAACAGGTTAACCAGCAGCATTTAAAGCTAACTTCAACCTATTTTGGGGAGTACTTTCACCAAGGAAAATCAATAGGCTCAAATTAGATAACACAGACACAGGAAGCAACCATTACTGGCTGACCTTTCATTCTGGGGGCATTCTATTACAACAAATATTCAAAAATTCCCCAAATGCCCATATTTGGGAAAACTATATCCCAAAATTCCGAGGAGCTTAGCTTTAAGGTCACGGGAAAAAGTCGTTTATAGGAGAATGGGAAATAGAACACTCAATTCCACACACATACTCAACTTTTTTCATCTCAGTAAAAGACTGAGTCTTGGATAAATACAGTAGTCCCCCAGTTAGCCTACCAAAATACTAACATCCAATGAACTGTTATAAAAAGAAGCCTGCAGGGCCCAATGGGTGACACAGTTGGTTAAGAGCGCGAGCTCTGAGCAACAGGGCTGCCGGTTCGATTCCCACATGGGCCAGTGAGCTGTGCACAAGCTGAGCTGCCAATGAGCAGCCGGATGGCTCAGCTGGTGAGAGCACATTGCGTGCTCTTAACAACAAGGTTGCTGGCTCGACTCCTGCATGGGATGGTGGGCTGCACTGCGCCCCCCGCCCTCACCCCCCTGCAACTAGATTGAAAGCAGCAACTGTACTTGGAGCTGAGCTTGCGCCCTCCACAACTAAGATTGAAGGACAACAACTTCACTTGGAGCTGATGGGCCCTGGAAAAACACAATGTCCCCCTTCCCCAATTCCCCAATAAAATCTTAAAAAAAAAAAAAAGAATGCTGCAAATTGCAAATACAAACCCCAAAATAGATACATTCTACCTCTAGCAATAAAGTTTCTGATGATGTAGTATGTAATCCCTGTACCTCTTTGAGAGAGAAGTATTATTATTAGAAAAATCCATTTGGCTTGCCTCTGCAATAAACTAAATTTTCCCAGAACAGAAACCATGTTAGGTCCTCTATCCACAGTGCAAGTACTTTGTACTTGGATGTGCTCTTAACAAATATGTCTTGAACATCAGTTCAATCAGACTATAAATTAAACTTTTCACCAAAAGTAGATAAATGAATGATCAGAAGCAATATATTAAAATGTACAATGGTGCTTTAAAAGAGAACATATACCCTCATATACAAGAATGCCCACCTGGCTTTTCACTGTTGCTGAGACTGTTGGAAAGAAACAGTGACAGCATTACGGTGTAACAAAGTTCTGGGGGTGGTGTGTGATTATGGAGGCTGTGGGGTTAGTTAGGGAGGGTCTGCCTTAGTGGCCTATGTGTCGCTACTATGCCCCTGGCCTTGGTTTCCTCATTTTTAAAAGGTGAGATCTACCTTAGGTTGTTTACTTAGGTTCCTTCTACTCCTAAAAGAGATTTGATACTATAAATGCTATTTTTTTATTGCAGAATTGATTTTCAACAGTTTCCATGTTTTCTATATAATTTTACCCACTATCTCCAATCAATAGTAAAAACTCATGTATGAGCTTTGTTGAGTTGAATAGTATAAGTTCTCAAAATACTATATAACACTGATATTATTCCTATTTAACATTACAGATTCCAATGACCTCATATTTACATTCAGAAAAGGAAAGCTGGTTTAGATATACCCTTAGAAGAACATATTATGGGCTGGCCGAGTGGCTCATTGGTTAAGAGTTGGCTTGGGAGTGTGAGCTCTGAGCAGCAGGGCCGCCAGTTCAGATCCCACATGGGCCAGTGACGCTGCCCTCTACAGCTAAGATGGTGAACAACAGCTCGACGTGGAGCTGGGCTGCTGTGAGTCGCCGGTGATGGCGTAGGCTTCAGTGGGACTACCATGAGTGGCTGGCAACCAGTGTGAGCAGCCAGCAGCCGGTGAGAGCTGCCATGAGCCACTGTGAGTGGCCGTCCAATGGCCAGAGACCGATCTGCTTCACCCGGGGAAGAGTGCAATGATCACAATACCAACACAGGCCAGTGAAGCAGCGTCCTCCATGAATAGACTGAAGAACAAAAAGGACAGCAACTTGTCTGTTCCCCTTCCCCAATTCCCCAATGCTGTTCCCTCCCCCAATTCCCCAATAAAATCTTAAAAAAAAAAGAACATATTAACTCATATTTAATTGTATGACAAAAATGACACTATGGCAAGGGACATCAAGATTAAGCAAATTAACTAGATACAAAGTTTTTACTCTCTAAAGTTGAATTCCTAGTAAGTTTAACTGTTTTTCACCTTCTGTGTTACCAGAACTTCAAAATGATTTACTTTCTAAAAGGATGGAGGGTAGGGGAAATAACTTATGAATCAACCAGGGGTTGTTTGAATATAATTATAAACTGCCAATCAATATGATTTCGATATTCATATTTTTAAAGCTATTTCATAAAAAAAAAACTTTTTAGGGCCGGCCGAGTGGCGCGATGGTTAAGAACTGGCTTGGGACGCCAGAGGGCGCCAGTTCGGATCCCACATATGAGGGCCAGTGACACTGCCCTCCACAGCTAAGATGCTGAACAACAGCTCAACCTGGAGCTGGGCTGCCATGA